GATTATTTCAAATAGACTCCAACTGCCATCCGGCTTTCTTCCCCATTCCCAAAAAATGCATCTTGTTCCCATTGCCAAATTAATCTCCCTCTCATTAGCGTTCTTTCAGAAATGTTTACATGTGAGGTTGGGGCAGAAGTGGAATGCTTTATTCCCACTTCTTTTACAGAGTGAGCATTAATTAACCATGGTCCTAATCTGTGACCTCCCTGGTGGCGTAGGGGTTAAGTCTCAGCACTATCATGTTATCACTGCTGCGGCATGAGTTTGATCCCCAGCCAGGGGCTAACCCACATATGGCGCAGCAGACCTCTCCTGTCTTCCTGTCTCCCCTGCTGCTCCCCTCAGCAGTGTATTTCAGATCTGCCTCTTCTGCTCCCAACTCTGGTAAATCCTCTAGGCACTCCCCCGGCCCCCACCATCCTGCACCTCTGGCCTACACCACAGTTCTGTACATAAGTAAATAAATAAATTTTTTAAAAAAAATTCCCAATCTGTTAATTCACCTCTTACTCTTTCTCATATAAGTTGAATGAATAACCTAATTAATGAATGACTGGCTTTGGTCCATATTTCTCAGGTGGTGGAACAAATCTATCAAAGCTTGAGAGACTGAATGTGGAGGATTTGTCCTTCCCTTACCTTTCCACACAGCCAGTAGGAAGCAGCAACTTAGGTGAGTGTCTGGTCTGCTTACTCACACTTTTCCTTAGGACAGGAAATTAGCAAGCCTGTTGAGGCTATCACACAGAGCCACACCTTCTAACCTATTAACAGTAGTCATTATATTAAAATGTAAGTCCTATTTTGTTTCTTCATCTGCTTTTAGTCTTATTTCTTAAGAACCTAGTTTCAGGCCCTCCCCTGGTGGTGCAGGCGGTTGAGCGCCGCGCTATGAAGCTGTCCACAGTCTCTGCAGCGCTGGTTCGATCCCAGCCGGCGGGCGAGGGTCCCACATGGCATGACAGACCTCTCTTGTCACGCCCACTGTTCCCCTCAGCAGTGTATTTTGTCAGTCTGCCTGTTCTGTTCCCTGCTCTGTCTCTGGTGAATTCTCTCACCCTACTGCGCATCTGGCCTGTACCCGGTTCTTGTATAAATGAATAAATAAATCTTTAAAAAAAAAAAAAAAAAAGGGCCTCCCCAGTGGCGCAGCGGTTGAGCACTGGGTTGCAAAGCTGCATGCAGCATCTGCAGCACCGGTTTGATCCCCGGCTGCTGGGCGAGGATCCCACATGGAGCGCAGACCTCTCCTGCCACCTGCTGCTCCCCTCAGTGGTGTATTTTGTCAGTCAGCCTGCTCTGCTCCCCACTCTGGCTCTGGTGAATTCTCTCACCCTCCCACACTTCTGACTGTACCCAGTGCTTGTATAAATAAATAAATAAATAAATAAATCTTTAAAAAAACAAACCAAAAAAACCCTAGTTTCAGAACTTGGTGCCAATTATTTGGCACTTGCAAAAATCTAGCCTTAGGCCAGCATTCAAGACATTCTGGATGCTACAGTAGAGGAGAAGGCGGGCTGTGTTAAAGTTGTCCACTCTGAGGACAGCGAGGCACACATGGCCAAAGACAGTAGTTCACAACCATTTTACCCACTGACTCTTCCCATCAGCATCAGAGTTTCACTACTGCTGGGATTCTCAACCAAAGCAGGAAGGAGGGCAGACCCCTAGGTCAGCACCCCCTAATCTGTGGGTAAGATAGAAATGCTGATTAAATAACAACAACTGGCTATTTGAACACGCCCCTCTAGGGGAGGCCTTCACATTCTGCCAGCCCCAGGAGAAGCGGTGACCTACACACTGATCCTCAGCTTTACAAGTTCAGAAACTCAATTTTGTCAGTTCATCCAGTGATAATTGGGCTCTAGAGTATTGAGTCACACAACTCACAGTCACAGGAGGCTGATTTAGAATCCAGAATGTCAATTAACCAATTTAAAATGGAAGATACAGTTTCATAGCGCTTGAACTACTCATGACCCCTTGCAAGTCATGCACTTGTGTCTAGATGGCTGAAAACCAAATTAGCAGCCAACTAAGAGAGGTGAAGCGAAAACTGGACCGATGAGAGACCAGTTTTCAATCCCAGCTTTCTGCTGACTTTGATCCCCGGCATGTTGAAGCCTCTCTGGGTCTGTGAACGTGAGAGAAGTTGCCTGAACCACGAAGTCATCAGGATTGAGTAGCCCCATGGAAGCTCTTCACACTTTTTGCACTTAAGAGAAACCAGAGAACAGAGATTCCTTTCAAGGCTATTCTAGGGTTTGCAGTACAATCTTTTCTCTATTGGAAATACATCATTTTTTGTAAACTTGGCATGCAAGGCCAGACATACTGTTCTTAGTGCTAGATTCTTGCTCAATCTCTTGACTTTCTTCCCATAAGCACATTGTACACTATCGTAATGTGTTGATTCCAAATCACAACATTTTATTCACCACTTAGATTGGCTGCCTCCTGGGATCAGGCTGTTTCAGACAGCACTGGAGTTCCTGGTTCAGTAGATCTGGGGTAGGGCTCAAGAATTTGCATTTCTGACAAGTATGCAAGAATACTGATCTAAGGACCACACTTTGAGAACCACTGATCCAGTGCAAATGATGATGGTCTTTTGCTGATCTGCTACTGCCCTTCTGCTGTCTTATCTGCGTCAGCACATGGGTGCCTGCCTTTCCCTGCATAGTTGGAAATTTCTGCGATTTGTGCTCAGCTCTCTGCTTTACAGATTTGCCTGAGCTGTTAAATCTCAGCTCTTTATCAGTTTATCTTTGTGCAGAATTCAGAATTTTAAAAAATAATTTTTTTTACAGTTGAAGTATCATTTGTAAACATTTTCCTAATTGTCCTGAGTGGAGTAAATAGCAGTGAGGATTTGCTGTTCTTGGGACTGCACTCCCGGCAGAAAGGCAACTAGACAACCGGCTGACTTGACTCTCTGACCCCGATGTCTTATCATATCTTTTATATATAGATTCTAGTACCACCTGCCTAGATTACTACATCTGCCACATTAGACTTGCAACAGGTATCTGTTGAACAAATTATCCTTCATAAACTTTGCTTCATAAATGGCCAATTTCTGTAGTGTCGCCAAATTTTTATAGGAATAGTTTAAACATTACATGGCATATTACAGAACATCAAGAAAAGAACTATAATTTTTGGCTGGGTAAGATTTTGTGATGGTGCTAGCAATTGAGCTGGAAATAGTTTAAGAGGCAGGAATGGGAGGAAAAGAGAACTAACATTTGACTCCCAGGCCAGAGACTGGAGGGCAGTAACTAGAGTGTCTCTGTTGAACAACATCAATTTTGGATAAGGGAAAAATAGAATATTCACCTAAAACAGGTAGGAAATCTAAATGTGGAGGGCTGGAGGCTAAACTAAGGAGTTATGACTTAATTCCATGGATTAGGGGACTCCCTGGTGGTGCAAGGGGTTAAGTGTCAGCACTTATGAAGCTATCCGCAGCCACTGCAGCAGGAGTTCGATCCCCAGCCAGGGAGGTGACCCACATGGTGCAGCAAACCTCTCCCATCTCGCCTGCTGCTCCCCTTGGCAGGGTATTTGAGTGGATCTGCATGTTCTGCTCCCCACTCTGTCTCTGGTGAATCCTCTTACTCTCCTGCATCTATGGCCTGCACCCCAGCTCTTGTATGCATAAATAAGTAAATCTTTTTTTAAGATTCATTTATTTTTATAAAAGAACCAGGGTACAGGCCAGATGCGCGGGAGGGTGAGAGGATTCACCAGAGACAGAGTGGGGAACAGAACAGGCAGACTGACGAAATACACTGCTGAGGGGAGCAACAGGCGAGACAGGAGAGGTCTGCCGTGCCATGTGGGATTCTCGCCCGCCAGCCAGGATTGAACCAGACAGAGGTTCACTGCAGAGGCTGTGGACAGATTCACAGTGAGGCACTCAACTGCCTGCACCACCAGGGAGGACCAATAAATAAATCTTTAAAAAAAAAAATAAATCCATGGACTAGTAGGAGCATATATTGAACATGGTGCTCAGTAATCCTATATAAACCTGATGGAAGATGTTTGCTGGATTATAACCAGGATCTACTAGAGGTGAGACCAGTGGGATACTGTAAAGAGCAAAATGAGAACCTGGAAACTCTAAGAAAACATTCATAGTACTTGACAAATTTCATCAAATCTAAGAAATAAATGTGTATACATATATACATATTTTAACATCTTTGAAGCTGAAATATATCTTACAGTTAGCTGCATGTCTTAATTTAATTGGCAGTATTTCTTCCTTCTTAACAACATGTAAAATGTGTATCAAAGTTGAGGTTGTCCTAGATTCAATAAAATATTATAAGTGCATATGAGTAAGAAATAAGGAATTCAAAGGCAAAACTTAACATGTCAGTGGTTGGAAAACTCTATTATACCTAACCAAAAAAAAAAAGGGCGGGGGGAGTTTCCTTACATTTCTATAGGCATTTAACCACATGTTCTATTTGAGCCATGACCCATAGACAATATTACTGTTCACCCATTTTCCCATCTGAACTTATGAATAATTACAAATAAGATGAAGTGGCCCTCCCTGGTTCATAAGACGGAACCTATGAACCTATGCGCAGCCACTGTAGCACAAGTTCAATCCCCAGCCAGGGAGATACCCACATGGCACAGCAGAACTCTCCTGTCTCGCCCACTGCTCCCCTCAGCAGTGTATTTCAGTCAGTCTGTCTATTCTGTTCCCCACTCTGTTTCTGGTGAATCCTCTCACCCCCACACCCCCGCACCTCTGGCCTGTACCCCAGCTCTTGTATGCATAAAATAAATAAATCTTTATTTATTTTAAAATAAAATAAAATTATTTTAAGTAAATCCCCTGGCCAGCCAGGAATCGAACTTGTGCTGCAGAGGCTAAGGATTGCTTCATAGTGCAGTGCTTAAACCCTTGACCACCAGGGAGGCCCAAATAAATAAGTCTTTAAAAAAAAAAATAAGATGAAGTACTTATAATGGCAACTTTAATGTGAACATGTGTTTGACTCTCAAGAAACTGCTATATTTTAAAGGGAAGAGCAAGTTGCCACTGAAAGGAGTACATGATACTTAGGGATGGATGGTCTGCAGCTTCTCAATCCAGCTGATATTCATATATATCCAAGCAATGGATAATATCAGTCATTTGAACAATCGGAACTTCTTCAAATACTGGTTTACATCTTCCTTAGGGTAGGGACGGAGTGCAATGCACGTGGGGATATTCTCAGGCTGCTCCACCCACAGCATGTGATCAATGTTCTTCTGTTGTAGGGTCTCAGCCAGCTCCTTTAGGGTGGCCTCGTTGGGGGCCTACAAGGAGCAGAACACAGAACACAGTCTGAACAGCTCCTTTAGAAAGACAAAAGACAAAGAAAAAAGGTCTGGAGGAGAGCTTCTCTTACCTTAAGCTCTACCAACGAAAGAACTGTACAGCATGTCTCCAGAAGCAAGCTTAATATTTCCATTTGCCAACAACAATTTTTTTTAATATTTTTGTCAGCCTTCAGTGAAGGAATTACTCCACTTCAGGGTTCTGGTTTATTAAAATGAATTTCATGACAAAAAATGCATTTCCCCTCATGATAAAATACATTTAATGTAGAAAACTAAAAAGAATAGAAAAGCAATAGGAAATAACCAAAATTCCACCATCTACCACTTAATATTTGGATGCATTTCCTTCATTTTTCTTTTAACAATCGGGATCATTTTGTACACACAAGACAGTTGAATTAGCATGACGTCATGTGTTCCATGCCAATTAAATACGGTCCAAGAACATCATTTATGCTAGCTTATGATAATCCATTATAAGGGTATAGATGAGTCGATCTCTAGTATTGGAAATTTAGGACTTTCCACATTTTTTGCTGCTGTAAAGTACTCCTGTGAAAACGCTTGTGCAAAACTTTTCTAAGGATGCAATTCCAGCAGAACCGACAGTCAAGGGGTCTGTTTGATCATTGCACAAATAAACTTACAGCTATTTTACACTCCATGAGTGTGATATTTCCAATGCTAGGTTCAATTTACACTAGGGTTAACATTTATTTTCAATAATTCGACGTCATGCCCAGGTAAAAGCTTCAGTTTGACTCCAGTTTTCAATAAGAAACTTCATGTTCCTATCACTTCGGATAGGTTTGGCGGGGCAGAAGAGGGCAGCACTTTTTAGCGCAGGTGTAAAAGGCCCACCCCGCGCACAGGTGAGCCAGGCAGGCATCCGCGAAGGACGCAGGTGAGAGCCGAGGGGTGCAGGAAACATTAGCAAACGTCCTCTGCCCAGTCAAAGAAGGTTCCCTGGCAACAGCTGTACCCCCAGAGTCCTTCCAAAACTTCCAAGTTAGAAGACTCGCCCCCTTACACCGCGCCCACTCCCGAAATTAGGCAGGGGCCTCAAGGCCACGCCCACTTCCGGCCTCGGCGTCCTCAGCGCCCCGCCCCCCGCGCCGCCTCACCTCGAGCACCACCTTGCGCATGCGCTCCAGCTCCCGGAGGTACGCCTGTGTGTGCGGGTGGTCGCGGTGAACGTGCAAGGCCGCGGTGGCGGCGTGACAAGCCTGCGCTACCAGTGCGCCGAGCGGCCATGAGAAGGGAGCTTGCGATAGATCCTTTCGTAACACCAAGTACTGTACCAGGATCTGCGGCTCTGCGCCGGAGGCCGCCATTTTCCTGCCCAACAGAAAGGCTGGACGTAGTCCCCGGTGCATGCCGGGAGTAAGGAGGTGCCCTGCGCGCAGCCATGTTTTGTACGGTGGGAGCGCAAAGCACGCTGGGACCAACTGGCTTGGATTTGAAGACGAGGACGCGGGAACTCGGGGTGAGTCCCGGGCGGCCGGGACCGTGACCCGGGTGGGGGGCTGAACGGCTTCTTTGAGCCTTCCGTGTGCAAGGAAGCCCGGTGAGCCCGAGAGCCGCGCCCGGGGCGCAGGGCCGGGGAGGTGAACGCGGCGCGGCCGGCGCGGCCGGCGCGGACCTGGGGACGGGCCCGCGGGTCAGAGTCGGGGCGTCGGGCCGGGAGGCGGGGTGCTTGCCTGAGGGGTGCGAGCCTGAGGGGTGCGTGCCTGCCTCGTGGCCTGTTTGAGTGTGAATAGCCGTGACTTCTTGTCATTTTTCTTTTACCAGCGAGGAAGTCACGTCCCTGCTACGGCCTTCCTGGACGGCGTTATAGGGCGGCTTTGTAGGGCGGCGCCTGGAAACCCGAGGAGATGCAGTCGGCGAGTGGAGACAGCGAGTCCCAAGGAGGTATTCAAGGGGTCGCCTTCTTTCCCTTGCTACTGCTGCGCAGAGATGGCCCCCAGTTTGAAACACACCTGTGTTCTCCAACCTGTTTGGGGTGAGCGTGTGAGAAACCCTCACACAAGATTTAAAGGGACAGTCAGGATTGTTGATGAGAAAATATATTATTGAGCAAATGAATATAATAAAGAGTCCAGCAGAAATTCCAGGCCAGGTGCAATGAACACGCCAGTGCAGGCATAATTAACAAGTTTGCTTACAGCTCCTCCCCTTTCAGGATTCATGGCCAGGCCCTCAGCACTCTTACCTATAGGGTCGGGCAGCCGGCCAAGCTGGTCTTTCTCTTTCTCCAAGGCCATCCCCAAATGCCTGCATCTTTCCCCCCTTGCCTTGCCCGCCCCGCCTTGTCTGGGGACTTTGCGGCAAATGGTTGTGCCTGCTGAAAAACGATGCTATCAATGCAACAGATATGGAGACAGTTGTATATTAAAGGAACTCTTGGTCTTTAAGTGGGTGCTCAGACCTTACGGGGCTCCCCAGGTCTGGGACCTCATGCATGAGTACTAAAGCGTCCCCTGACCTCACCATTCCTGAAGTACCTCTTGTTCTTCCTCTGCCTGGGTAAAAGGCTAGAATTTATTTCTGCAACATTGTGACTACAAATACATCTAGTCTCTTCTTTAAAGGGACAGGTTGCATTCGTAATAGACTGTGTTCATAGAACTACATTTCTAGCTGGTAAGGTCTCGCCTCTCTTCCCTGGATTTGTTTGGGCCACTCTACATGCTCCTGTGAAGGGGGCAGTGCCAGGCACTGACATTGATTTTGTTTAGATGGTGCTTGAGTCCTGGTTCTGCCATTATGAATAGTCTGGCCATAGGCAAGATATTTTACCTTTTTCTGCTTTAATTTCTTCATCTGGAAGTGAATAGTAGTATTGTGTTGGTGGTTGTGGAGATTAGACAAATATTTGTTTTCATGCTTTCCAGCTGAAGTGCTTAGCATATGTCTAATGTATAGGAAATTGTCACTAAATTTTTTTATTCCTTCACATGATTTGCAAATAAAGCATCTAGCACAAGTGTCTTAATATGTAGGAGATAATTAGCAAATGCTGTACTCTTAGAGTCCATTAGCGTTGTGAAAATGTGACTTTTTAATATTAATTCTTAGTCCTTCTCTTGGGAACTGAGGTTGCCTTCTGTGTTTCTGTTGAATGGTGAGGTTTTTTCCCTTTCCCAGAATTAATGCCACTTTTAGTGTGTGCCCTTATAGTCCTGTGCTACTAATACTTTTCAGAGCTTCGAAGTAGTTAGTCAAACCTGATGTCCCAATCCAACAAGTTATGAATTAACACTTTGGGAAAATATGCAACAAATCCAAGTAAGACAATTTTTGAGAGTGAATTTGGTGACCCCTTTTCTCTTTTTTTAAAGATTTATTTATGAAAACAAGAACTGGGGTAAGGCCAGAGATGTGGGGGGTAAAAGGATTCACCAGAGACAGAGTGGGGAACGGGACAGGCAGATTTACCGAAATACACTGCTGAGGGGAGTAGCGGGAGAGTCCGGAAAGGTCTACAGCGCCATGTGGGTTCCTCCCTGGCGGGCCGGGGATCCAACTTGTGCTGAGTGGCTGCGGATAGCTTCATAGCACTGTGTCTTAACCTTTTGCACCACCAAGGAGGCCCCGATCCCTTTTTTCTCTAGGTCCATTATCATGGATAACTCAGGTGAGCTATGTTAAGATAATGTACTGTTCAGATAGTGTCCTGACCAGGGACTGCTTATACATTAGTGTTCAACTGAAAAGGTTGCTGATAATTGAACTCAGTGTCAGCGCCTCTGGTTTTGTAAATTGTATCCAAAGTCTAACATTTTAGTTGGCCACAAAGGTCTGAAAAAAATGAGCCACTTCTGTTCATAAGTGCTTCCTGTTGCCAGAGTTAAATATTGGCTTACCTAATGAAATTCCCTTTTTACTTTCCTTAGGTGTTTTAGCTCACTTGGAAAGGTTAGAGGCACAAGCGAACCTATCCCGTAAAAAATTGGAACAGCAGAAAGTGGAAAATGCTCTTGGAACAAAGATTCGTAAATTGAGATATGTTCGAGATAAACTAAAGGCTGAAGTGAAGCAACGACAAGCCAGAGTGAGTAGAACGGTGTTTCTTAGAGTATAAAGGAATGAAAATCATCTGGAAATGAGCACATTTTATAATATGATTCACCTGTGCTCTTCAGGCTCCGTGTCAGTCCTTGATTCCTCAAACAATCAAACCTGTGGAGTCTCAGCTACTAGCAGCAACAGCTAACAATTGTTGGGCCTTACTGGTGGGCCAGATGAGTTCTTCATAAATCTCTTAACCTGCCCTCGTGCATGTGAGCCTGTTACCTCAGTTTCAGTCTGACCTAAGTCATTGGTTCTTTTGTCATTTGCACCACCTGTTGCCTAGACTGGAAACCTCACAGTAAACTTTACCCCTTCCCTCTTTTTCACTTTCTTTCTAGCCCAAGTCCAGTCAGCAAGACTTGTTCAATTTTCTTTAGATTGTCTTTGTTTCCCCCCACTCCATTTTCATAGCTCAAGTATTAGCCACATTGGTCATAATTATTTATCAGGGAATTTGGATGCCAGGATTATAGCAGAAGTATTTCTACTTCTCCAATAAATCCTGCACAACCAAGAAAATGCTTCATAAAATTCTACATACTTTTCTTGTTCAAAAACTTTGAATTAGTCCACAGAATAAGGTCAGCCTTTTTTTGTGTGTGTGCCTTCCTTCTCTATCCTATTTTCTTCCTTCTCGCCTTCCATCCCTTAGCTTTTTTGTTAAAAAAAAAAAAAAACCCACAGAAGTCTGAGGAACCCACACCTGGCATAGAGCATAGGGTAGTAACCACAGAGCATAGAGTAGTACCCGTGTCCCAGGAGTCTCCCCCCTATACACTCCTTTTCATTTCCCTCCCGGAAACCACCACTGTTTTTGAATTTCATAAGTATATACTCATGGCTGGCTTTTGCTGAATGTTATCTCTGAGATTCATCCTTCTCGGTGCATATAGTGGTCTTTCTTTTTTATTGCCATAGAGTAATTCCAGCTTATGAGTATTCCACAGTTTATTTCCCTATTGTACTGTTGGTGGCATTTGGGTTAATTGGGTTGTTTCGCTTGGGGCTTTTAATGCTGCTGTGAACATTCTTGTTCCTGTGTTTTGATATAAAAACATGTATTTTTCTTTTTGTCTCCCAGAATCATGTGGATAATCATTTCGGTTATCTCTCATTTTTATTGCAGAAATCATTAATGCCATAATAGTTAATATTAAGTTGTAAAAGTTGGGAGAAAGTATAAGGGTTATGAGTGCATTTATATGTTAAGTGAGTCCTGAGGCTTCCCTTAACGCTGGCCCAATTCTTTCATCATCAATTAAGGAGAAGTAGGTGAATATTTTTCTTTCTTTTTTTTTAAAGATTTATTTTACCTATGCATACAAGACCTGGGGTGTAGGCCTGGGGCGGTGGGGTGAGAGGTTTCACAGAGACAGAGTGGGGAGCAGAGCAGGTGGATCTACTGAAATACACTGCTGAGGAGAGCAGCAGGTGAGACAGGAGAGGTCTGCCGCGCCATGTGGGTAGTTCCCTGGCCCGCCAGGATCTACAGAGATCCTACACTGCAGAGGCTGCGGACAGATTCATAGTGCTGTGCTCAACCACCTGTGCCACCAGGGAGGCCCAGTCAGTGAACTTTCAATGTGATTAGTGATATATCTGGATCTCAGTCTGCCGTATTTCTATTTTATTATCTTATTTGTTCTGTTTCTCTTGTTGCCTTTCAGATTGATCTTTCTGTCATTCCACTTCTCCATTAGCTCATTAATTACACATAGGTTCATCATGTATACACTTGGTTATTCTAGAGAAAACGTGATACTTTTTTAGAGTATATGTTAGATTAGTACTTTTTTTTTTATTTGTTTGTTTGTTTGTTTATACATACAAGCACTGGGTACAGTCAGAAGCGCGGGAAGGTGAGAGAACTCACCAGAGCCAGAGCGGGGAGCAGAGCAGGCAGAAGGACCGAAGTACACTGCTGAGGGGAGCAGCGGGCGGCAGGAGAGGTCCGCGCGCCATGTGGGACCCTCCTCCGGTGGCCGGGGAGCAGCCGGGGATCGAACCGGCGCTGCAGAGGCTGCGGGCAGCTTCGCAACCCAGCGCTCAACCACTGCGCCACTGCGGAGGCCCAGATTAGTACATTTTTTTTTACCCCACTCTGCATTCTGGGTAATACAGAACCTTAAATTTTCTCTACCGCAGATGCACCTTTCTATTATTGTCATACATTTATTTCTTTGTATACTTAAACTCTGAAAGTTGTATTGTTTGTACACTCTTCCTTTAGTTATATACATAGTTACTTTCTCAGTGTTATTACTTCCCGGCATTTCCACATTTCCATCTGAAATTATTTTCCTTCAACATAAGTAGCTCTTTCTGGTACTTCTTTCAGTACAGATCTATTGACAAATTCTCTTTTTTTTTTTTTTTTGACTGGAAACACCCTTTTTCACTTTTTAAGAATATTTTTGCTAGATATAGGGTTACAGATTGGAAGTTTTCTTTCATACTTTAAATATATTGTTCTGTTGTCTCCTAGTTCTATAATGTGTTAAATTTATTATTTGAATGTAGTGTCTGTTTACCTCTAGTTTTTTAAATTTTGTCTTGGTTTTAGCAATGTTATGTCATAAAGTGACTAGGTGTTGTTTCTTTCCTTATCCTGCTTGGTATTTGTAGAACTCCTTAATTGCTTGAATTTTTTTCATTTAATTTGGGAAATATCCTTCAAAGGTATGCATCGGCCTCATTCTTTCTGTGTATGGAGTTGTCTTTGTGGGTTTTTTTTTTTCTGTAAGCTATTTCTTACATGTTTGCTAAATTCTGATCTTTATGTTTTTTTGTGTGTGCTTTAGTTTGGTTATAGAAATGCACCTATTTTCCACTTATGTATCAAGTCAGCTCTAACCTTAAGTTCCTAATTTTAGTTGATTTTTTGTTTGTTTTTGGTTCTAGGCTTTCCATGTGATGCATTTTTATAGATCCCTAATCTTTTTTTTTTTGAGTTCTCTTAATTTATTTTAGTGGCTGTACCTGATAATTCAAATAGTCGAATCCCCTTGAAGCTGCTTCTGTTTTATTTTTCCTCTAGGTTTCCAATCATCTGTTGTTCTTTCCTGACATCCTGGTAATTTTTTGATTCAGTGATGGGTATTATATTTAAAAAAAAAAAAAAAAAAAGGATTCAGAAGTATGGTGTCTTCCTCCAGAGAGAATTTCAGTTTTTTGTTTGTTTGTTTTGTTTGTTTTTGTGTTGTTGTTTTTTGGGGGCAGATACCATATATTAATCTGGTTGAAGTGATCTGTTTCTGGTTTGTGCAACCCTCTATTTAAGGCCTTGGCTGAAAGTTGAGACATGTTGGGTCTAGTATATCAAGACCCCTCTTCTGGGCCTCCCCGGTGGCGCAGTGGTTGAGCACTGGGCTGCAAAGCTGCCTGCAGCCTCTGCAGCGCTGGTTCGATCCCTGGCCGCGGGCGAGGGTCCCACATGACGTGCAGACCTCTCCTGCCACTCGCTGCTCCCCTCAGCAGTGTACTTCGTCAGTCTGCCTGTTCTGTTCCCCGCTCTGGCTCTGGTGAATTCTCTCACCCTCCCGCGCTTCTGACTGTAACCAGTGCTTGTATGTATATAAATAAATAAATAAATAAATCTTTAAAAAAAAAAAAAGACCCCTCTTCTTCAGCAAGCTATGAACTTGCAGTTGCTGGCAATAGCTTGATAGTGCTGAGACTAACCCCTGCGCCACCAGGGAGGCCCTAGTCAGTGAACTTTTGGCAAACCAAGCTTGGTTTGCCAGAATTTCTGCTTAGATTTTTAACTCTTTATTATTAGCTTATTTCTGTTTGGTTTCTCAGTCCCTCCTTACGCAGTTTAATAATTGACCAGTGGTAGAGGGCGAATTGCATCCAGAATGTTCGTGTCCCTTTTCTGTGGGATCTCGACTGTGGAAAGATTTTCCCAGTAGTATTCCTAAATCTCCCAAGTTTTGGCTCCCCCACAAAGTGAGACTGCTACAAAGCCTGCAGCTTTCTGTTGCACACACTTGCTATGTGATCCAAATCAGCATATACTGTGAAGGGAAGGCTGCAGCAGAAAACCATCTAACTTCAGCGCATTTCTCTTTAATCTTCCATCTGGCTATTTTGGTTGCTCTCTAATGCCTTCAGACCATGTTCTATTTGCTTGCCTGTGTTTTGGCTTATGTAATTTAATCCAGCTTACATGGTTCTCAGAGGGGAGGTTAGTTTGATATCAGAGCTCAAAGTGTACATCTTAGAGTCAGTATTTCTCATCCCTGTACTTGAAAGCCTGTGGTCTGGCTCAAACCATTTTTCCTAGTCTTGTTTCTTTACAGCTGTTTCGCTTAACCTGTGCTCATCCTAGACTTTTCCCTCATAACTTTTTTTTCCTTCTCTCATAATATTCTCTATTTCCACCAAATTCTAATTGTTTTTTAGGACATCACAACTCCTCTTTTTGATTCCCAGCTTTGTGAACCACAGATTTCCTCCTTTGCTATGAATTCACAGCACTCACTCACTGCTGTATTTCTTGATTTGTTCCAGAATTGCTTTTTACCAGTTAAGTGAGAGCAAAGGCTTTGTATTATGCCCTTTTTACCCCATTTAATTTGTGCATATCTTACAGGTTAAAACCTCAACGGCCAATGTAGAACCCAACCCAACATTGGAGATCATGGAGCAAGAAGTTCTGGAAAGAAAACAGGAAAATGTGAAGGCCATTCTGCAGGCATATCATTTTACAGGTATGATTGTGTTTCACCTATTTCAGCCTGGGTGTATGTCTCCGTTGAGTTAGTTTGCTAGATGTGTTAATCCTGGACTTAGGTCATGGGTACTGATTTTGCCTTCCTCATCATACAAACACATATTGGTGTGCCGTTTGTCAGCATCTACAAACCTCTAAGATTGGCCTCTTTATGCAGAAGATTGGTTGGTGACTGGCTTAGAGAGTTTGTTTAAGCTATTTAATATGTGCCAGACCCTGTACTAGAATTTCCTTCATTGCTGGCTGGCTTTATGCTGCTGATCAGATTTTAAACCCTTGGGTTTTTGTTCACCATTAAAATTGGGATTTATTCTCCCTATTGTTTATGTCACATGAGGATTGTGGAAGGACTGTCAAATTATTTGATACCCTCAAAAAAAAATGATAGGTAAATCGAAAATTTCAAAATCTTCCTCAATAATTTCATCTTTTTTCCACTCTTCTTTCATTGTTTCAACAACTCAAATGTAAAGTGTACCTGCGTTAATGAGGAAAAAGTTTGGTGGTATTTACTGAACACACATTTTAGCACACACTGTATGTACTAGGTTGTGTTAAAGGTAACACTGGATAGCTTGATGAATAAGATACTGTTTTGCCTGATGCCTGTTGAGAGGTCTCCTCTTGTTTGCTTCAGGGCTCAGTGGGAAGCTGACCAGTCGAGGAGTCTGTGTCTGTATCAACACCTCTTTTCAGGGAAACCTGCTGGGCTCCTATTTTGTGGACCTTGTTATACAGAAACCGCTTCGGATACATCGCCATTCAGTTCCAGTCTTTATTCCTTTAGAGGAATTGTCAGCAAAATACTTACAGACTGATATTCAGCACTTTCTGTTCAGTCTCTGTGAATACCTAAATGCTTACTCTGGAAGGAAGTACCAGGCAGATCGACTTCAGGTATGTTTGGGATCTTATTTGGCATCTTAAGGGCCCAGGATAGTCTTGAAAGGAAAAAGGGAGACAGGTTTTCTTTTGTATTTTAAAATGTTTCATAACTCTTTGCCAAAAGTTTGATCATTGTCCTTCTAATGTTTGTGTCTTACTGACATGCAGACTATTTTCCACCTTTATTCCATCCCCTTTTAAAAACTCTGGATGATCCAAATAGGAAAAGAAGAAGTCAAACTATCACTATTTGCAGATGATATGATAATACACATAGAGAACCCCAAAAACTCCACAGAAAAACTAATTCAACTTATCAATCAATTCAGTAAAGTGGCAGGATACAAAATCAACACTCAAAAGTCAGTAGCCTTCCTATACACAAACAATAAATCTGAAGAAGAAATAAAAAAAAAACATCCCTTTTATTATCGAAACAAAAAAAATCAAATATTTGGGAATAAATCTAACAAAAGAGGTAAAGGACCTATACAAAGAAAATTATAAAATACTGTTAAAAGAAATAGAAGAAGACACAAAGAAATGGAAAGACATCCCCTGCTCATGGATTGGAAGAATAAACATTATTAAAATGGCCATCCTACCAAAAGCAATATACCGATTCAATTTCATTCCAATCAAAATTTCAATGTCATTCTTCAAAGAAATAGAACAATTATTGATGAAATTCATATGGAATCACCAAAAACCCCGAATAGCCAAAGCTCTCCTGAAAAAAAAAGAAGGGAATGGAGGCATCACACTCCCAGACTTCAAACTATACTACAAAGCCATAATCATCAAAACTGCATGGTATTGGAACAAGAACAGACATACAGACCAATGGAATCGAATAGAAAATCCAGAAATAAACCCACAGATTTATGGTCAACTAATCTTTGACAAAGGAGAAAGACTATGCATTGGAGCAAAGAAAGTTTGTTCAATAAATGGTGCTGGGAAAACTGGGTTGCTACATGCAAAAGAATGAAGCTTGACCACTACCTCACACCATACACAAAAATCAACTCAAAATGGGTTAAAGAACTAGACATAAGACCTGAAACCATAAAATACATAGAAGGAAATATAGGTGAAACACTACGTGATTTGCATATCAAAGACATCTTTACAGACACATCACCCAAAGCAGTGATAGTGAAGGCAAAGATAAACAGCTGGGACTACATCAAATTAAAGAGCTTCTGCACAGCAAAAGAGACAATAACAAAAACAAAGAGAAACCCCACCAACTGGGAGAACATTTTTGCACCCAACACTAATGATAAAGGACTGATCACAAAAATCTGCAAAGAGCTGATGAAACTCAACAACAACAAAGAAAATAACCCAGTCAAAAAATGGGCAGAAGAGCTAAAAAGAAACTTCTCTGAAGAGGAAATGCAAATGGCCAACAGACATATGAAAAAATGTTCAACATCACTTGTCATCAGGGAAATGCAAATCAAAACTACCATGAGATACCATCTTACACCAGTGAGAATGGCACATATTAAAAAAACTAGCAACAACAAATGTTGGCGAGGGTGTGGAGAAAAAGGAACTCTCCTGCACTGTTGGTGGGAATGCAAGCTGGTCCAACCACTATGGAGAGCTGTGTGGAGATTTCTGGACCTACTAAACATAGAGCTTCCATATGATCCAGCAATTCCACTCCTAGGTATTTACCCAAAGGACACAGAAACATCAATTCCAAAGAACACCTGCACCCCTATGTTTATAGCAGCACTATTTACAATAGCTAAGCTTTGGAAACAGCCCAAATGCCCAAAAATAGATGACTGGATCAAGAAGATGTGGTACATATATACCATGGAATATTACTCAGCATTCAAAAAAGATAAACACATGCAATTTGCAGCAACATGGATGGCGCTGGAAGGGATCATGCTCAGCAAAATAAGCCAGAAAGAAAAAGAAAAATACCGGATGGTCTCACTCATAGCAGGAATCTAGAAAACTTAAATAAGGGATCAGGAAAATGAATAACTATAAGAAAGTGAAAATCAAAATCAACAAAAAACTATGAACCAGAGACACTTTTTGGGGGGTGGGGGCCGGGAGGGGAGGGATTGGGGTCAGAATGGGGCATGTGCAGTTGTATGGGGGAATATATAAAAATAAAATTTATTATTTAATAAAAAAAATAAAAAAACTCTGGATGATGTTGAACTGTGGCAGTTGGCTAAGGGATTATTCACTCCCAAATGGTGGTCCTTAGCCTTTTATATTTGAGCCTTTTTCTCACATGGTAGTAATATTCAGTTGCTTCTTTTCAGTTCAGCAGAGATTTATAGAGTACCAGAATGTGCTTGCTGAGCAGTGTCTGAAGTACTGTGGAGGAATACTATCTGTCTTGAACTAAACTGACCTACTTTCTGAGGTTGGAATCGGAAAAAGAACAGGAAATGCATGCAGATAGGGAGTGATTTAAGAGTCACTTAGCATTTCCCCTTTTGTGCATCTGAAGCTCCTGGTTGATAATGTGAATTCAGACACAAAGCATCTTAACCATATGTATGATGTCAACAAGACTTTTAGCAAAAATAGTACCTCCATAACCCTCAACCCCCTGGCCATTTACTTAGTGCCTTTCTAGGTTGGCACTGACTTTAGTCCTTTTTTTCAGGCCTTTCTCTGTTCATTTTTCTGAAAAATTGATTAATGGGCCCTGGTTTTAGTAGACATATCTGAAATGTGATATATGTTCTTTGTCTTTTTGATCCCCTTCCCTCCATTAGAGTGACTTTGCAGCCTTTCTGGCTGGACCCTTGCAGAGAAACTCACTGTGCAACTTGCTGGTGTTTACTTATAAAGTGGAATCGAAGAGTCAGTCCTTCCCATTTTGTGCAAGATTGCTGTACAAGGACCTTACAATAACCCTTCCAACTGACGTCAGCATTACATATCAAGGTAAGAGGAAGGTTGCCTCAGTGGAGAAATTAGACCATGCTCTGGATTGTTCTGTGTGAACGAAGCAGGGTAAAATAGGTAGCCTGCAGTAATTGTACCTCTTGAGACCTTTCCTTCTCTGCATTTACTGATAGTAAAATACTACCTATTTGTCCTCTCCTCTTTGTGGGTAGTAAACATGATTATCCTAGTTTTCCCTACTCTTTTCCATCTGACTGCCAGTGTTCTTTCAGCTTATGTTTTCATTGGAGACCCCTCAGAAGAGAGCTAGCTAATGAGACTGACTCATAGGGCTGCTTGTGGTGAAGAGCGCCAGAGACTCATTTCACTGTGAAACTAATAGACTTGACAAGTCAGTATACACTTAGCTCTCTAGAGAATATTCTCTAAATGGGAATTTTCCAGGGCAGCTGAGACATTTTTTGTGATTTTTGTTTCAGTTAAGTGTACCATAGTGATGTAACTATGGGCATAGTTACATGGGCAATAATAAAAAAAAAAAAATATATAGGGTTTTTAGGAAGCAGATGTTTTGAAGCTGCCATAGGTTTCCTATCATAAATTTTAGATTTTTCTAGGCAGAGTATTAACAAATTTCCAGTCTCAAAATTACATGGGTCTAATAAAAGTCAGCCTCTCTTAGCACCCCCCCAAAATAGTTTATGTGGGTTCAGAATATTAATAATCTAGATTCTGATTCCTTCCGTTGCACTGGGATTGATAGAATCTTTCTTTTTTTAGGGATGGACACATTACCCACCTCATGGGAAGAGCAGCAAGCAGCCCATGAAAACCTGTTTTCTACACAGCCCCTACATCAAGTGTTTACAGCATTTGCAAGGAAAGGAGAAAGGTTGGACATGAGCCTCATCTCCTAAAATGCTTCTAGTGGGAACACGTCAGACGTGAGTAAATCAGTACTCCCTACAGCTCCATCCCTGGGGATGTCCCGGCAGGAGAATGCACACCCTCAGTAGGATGCTGACAGTTTTGAGTCAGACGTGTGTTTGGACAGTTCATTGATGGCTCACTTGTTAAAATGCCCAAGATCGTCTATTCTTTGGCGAGAGTAGGGGATGGTATGTTTTCGTTAAAAGTCAGGTTTGTGGGACAGTAAAAGATGGTCTGTGAAAGAGGGAATGTGTACCATTCAACAGAACACAGTATTCCTGGTTTTTATGGAAGCTGGACATAATTCTATCTCCTTTCCCTTTTGGAGGCTTTTGAAATGAAAGTTTTTGGAACAGGCTAGGTTTGTCTTGTGTGGTGAACCCTAGAGTTAAGGGAAGTGTTTAACCTTTGATTTGAAGTGGTGTGTTCCAGGTCTCTGCTTTATAAAGAATGTGCTATGAGAAAGAACTGTCAGTACAATAGGGTTCTGTGTATCCTAAGACAGCTATGACAGCATGTTCAAAATCTGCTCATACCTCACCTTGTTGTAAAGTGGAGTTGACACTCCCTCTTCTGCCACTCTAGGCCATGGCTGTGCTGAGTCTTCCCCATCTCCTAGTTGGTTAGTGTGCAGTCTCTCTTGGTCGCCTCTGGTTGCCGGGACTTCTGTTGTTGGCTGATGGGAGTGCACGTTGGTCCAGTTCACAGATGTGAACACCTGTGTCTGGCCAGGCCCTGCCATTTCTTTTGTCACCCTCACTCTAAGGCGGTTACTTCTTAGACCAGATGACCAGGAAGTGGCTACCTAGGAGGGTAGGAGCGCCAGCTCACCCTGGGAAGAGCATGGAGGATGGTCAGGCTAGTTCAGGTCAAGCTCTTGCCTTCCGGATATGTGGTGAGGACCCAGTGGTGGGAGATAGCAGAGCACTTAATATTCCTCTCATCTGAGAAGCGTTTAACAGAATTTTCACATTGATCACATTCAAGTTGAATAAAGCTTTTAATAAAACAGTCTTATTCTTTACAATACCTGTAAATTCTCTTTTAAAGCAGTAGCAAAGGCAACTGTAGCAAGAGCTCAAAAGGCAAGGCAATATCGGAAAAGTTTTTTAACAGAAAGTTAAAAATATAAATGTAGAAGATTTGTTTATATATTTTTCTTTCAGAAATAGATCCCCCTCCCCCCTCCCATCAGGTAAAAGGAAATATTGCACTTTCTGCTCTCGTGACTAAGGTGACAGGGGTTCCAGAAGAACCTTTCAAGATTATCAGGAACATCAGGACGAGGGCCATTTCACCTACTGTCAAGTGCTGCTCTGGGCCACAGCCAGCCCTCTGCCAAGCTCATGTTAAGCAGAGACGTCCACCCTGTGCTCCCAGCCCAGCGCCAAGGCAGCTCTGCTCCCCCCCATGCACTCCTGCTCACAGTGGCCACGGCCTCTCGGCGGGGGGAGAAGGGCGGGTCGGAACTAGGACTCAAAAGGTTCAGTTCCAGTGCTATGCCTACGACCCCTACTCTCTGAGGAAGCTACAGGCATACTGAGGAGGAGTATGGCCACCTCAGAGCTCACAGAGCCACAAACAGATGAAGGCTTGAGGAGACTGTTAAACCTAAAGTCTATGTTGAGTGTGCACTTCAGCAGTTACTTGGTAATTTGTCCTCTCCCAAGGCCTTTCTTCAACTCCAAAAGTAAATTCTCCCCTCCCCTGTGGACTGTCACCGGGCGAGAGGCCATTCAGGAGTTGTCTACCACCTGGTGGGGCAGTGTAACCGAGGAGCCGTTAGGGAAGGCGGCTGGCTTGTCACGCCCCTTCAAGAAAAAGGTCAGTAGCTCCCCCTTCCCTTTCACAAAGATGGGCCCTCGCCTCACGAAGCGGAAGCCGTACTCTCGAAGAATGACTTGTGTTTCTTCCACAACCTGTAAAGGGAGAACAGCACAAGAGATTGGGGTTAGAGAGGCTAGACTGAGGGTACCAGTTGGTACCCACACGTGATCCACAGGGCCCCTGCTCTTCTCCAAGCCTCCTAAAGTAAAGTTCCCTCCCCACCACACACATGGCACAGGGTAGGGAGCCACAGTCTCAGTGCGCCCTCCCTGGGAGGACGGCCAGTGGGGCAGCATTCGTGTTTTGAAATTTTACTGCCTGTTCTGTTCCCTTTGTTGTTTCTTCACATCAGGGTGGCTGCGGGGGAAACTGCTGTAGGAACAGTGTGCTAGAAAATTCATACCAAGAGGCAGGGTTTTCTTACTCAGAATTTAAACCTAAATTTTGTAAACAGGGTTGAAGTGTTTTTTCTCCTCTGAGGCATCTCTGCCCACCCACCCTTGCCCTTAATCTCACAGCACTGCCAACTGCACATTCTGGGCCAGCAGAAACGAGCAGTCGTGGATGGCAGAACACACACTATTCCGGTCTGTTCCCGGTCTCTGGGCCTGGTAGACATACCTGAATGTTGCCCATGACCCCTGTGGACTCCATCCTGCTGGCCACGTTGACGGTATTGCCCCAGATGTCATAGTGTGGTTTCCGGGCTCCGATGACGCCAGCAAGTACCCCACCTTTGTTCATGCCTGGGGTGGAGGCATGTGATTCAGCACAGCCACATGCTAAACCTTGTCATGTCTTAGAAGCCAATTGCTCCCATAGACTTTGTCAGCTGGCCCCTGGAACTCTACAACACGTCATATCCCTTTCTTAAGCTTCTCTCTCTGAACTTACTGGAGGGCTAAAATCGTATCTCCTCTTCATCCTGTGCTTTCCAGGTGCTTAAAAACATGGTTACTCAATATGGAAGCTGCCAGTTTTTAACACCTGCCTGGTACTTCGTACTTCACATTTCAAGTGACCTCACCCAGGAGTGAAACCCACTTCCCAGTAGCAGGGAGCAGGTGACATTAATGCCTGAGAGGCTGGACTGAGGTGAGCAAAACCCTGAGCAGGCATAGAAGTTTCCTTAGAAGGTAGACACAAGCTGACTTCCCAGCCAGATTCCGAAGGAAGGCCGTCATTGCAAAGGGTACACAGGGATGGGGGCCGTTTCGCCCTAAGAGGGGTTCTTAAGATCCCTTGCACTTCTGAGTGTGTAATCCCCAACCTAAGTGCCTCAGGTCTTTTTAAGCCTCTAGTCCTTGCTGCTGTGTCACAGGGGAGCACGTGGGGTTGGCAGGCCTCGAGCCCTTACCTATGCGCAGCATGAAGTTGTTGAAGGACTGGTTGTTGATGTTCGTAAGCGTGTCCTTCATGGCCAGTGCGAAGTCAGCCAGGTCCGCCAGGTGCTGCCAGCGCTCCTTGTCTGACTTCTCCTCCTGTGCCGAGAGCAGCAGTGGAAGGTTCAGGGACCCGTCTGACCCATAACCGCGGCCTGCTTGCCTCCCTTCCCTTCACCATGTGGGAGGCGACGCCCTGTGCCTAGGTGTGGAAACCTTACTCTCCTCTTGCCGCAGAGGAGTCAGTGACCGCCTGCTCCGACTTGTCATTGTGACAAAGTGCACTGGGCTCGCTGGGTCCAGGGCAGACAGCCCGGTATCCCTGTCTGCCATGTAGCTGAACACAAGTCATTTCACCAGCCCCTTGTCGGACCTGCTCTTCACATCTGGAATAATTGTCCTTATTTTGATTCAACTAGATTCTATTTAGACAATACTTCAGATGTAGACAGTCCTGGGGACCAGGCCCCCATAGCGTACCGCTGGTAGCTCCTCAGGTGTGAGCAGGCTGATCACAGGGGTGAGCTCTGAAACCTCCCCTTTTCCTAACAAAACCACTTTCCCAACCCGGAAGTTGTCATCGTTAGTTACGTAGTTTCAAGATGGTTTCTGCTCCCCACTTCTTAAAGCATGGCACATTAAGGGGGCATGGCCAGTTAGACAAAGGGTTTCGGGGCAGCGGGAACAGGCTGCTGTTCTCTTCTGTTGTGGAGCAGTAAGGGGGTGTGTGTATGTGTTCTGCTGTTTCTCCACTGTAAACCCAATTTTATGTGTCACGGGTGCTAGTGGATGGACGACGTCAACCATCTGGGCAACTTCTCATTTCCCACGTGCGCCAGGTCTCCTGTCTCAGGGAGCAGAGCCCCATCCCCACTAGCCTCTAAGGAGGTTAAGCTACCTTGCTGGAGCTAGTAAAGCCATTGGTGTTGACATCTGGGGTGACTCCAGAAGCTGCCATGTAGGTGCTGCCGATGGTTTTGATCTTGGTGATGACTCGGAATTTGGGGTTGTCCAGGAGCTGAGGGCAGTGGTAGGAAGAGAGTTGTCAGTAGGGGCACAGGAGATGAGTGAGCCACTAAGTGTTTACGAGGTGCTTTCCTATAAAAGCTTCATTCTGCATGTATCTGTGCGATCTGGGCAAACTGCCTGATGTTCTGAGACTTGATTACTGTAACGTTAACATTCGGGTAAAAGTGCCAGTCCCCTGTGGCGCTGCGCACATGCATAAATCAAAGCATTTTCAGGTGACCTAGTAAAGGGTTACTGACCGAGGATATCACGAATCAGAGGGGCTAAAGAGCTCGTTTTGGGCCAGTCCTTATTCTCAAAACTTGTAGGTGCTTTCCCAGGCTTTCACCTCAGGCCCTACATTGACCGTCAGGTACCGTAACTTCACCTTCCCTTTGACCTCTACGACCTGTTACGGGGTGTGATCCGGAATGAACTGGTATTGCGGCAGGACAGGAGGTGGAAACGGGAGGCTGACAAGGCACTCACAGAATCAAAATCCGAGATGATCTCATTGAGGAAGCGCAGACACTCGATGCCACCGTTATTGATACTCTCCTCGGTGTAGAAGTCGGCGAAGTTGGGCAGGGAGGCAAACATGACTCCGATCTCGTCGTAAGACTGGCTGTACAGCTCCTACGGGGAGGCGGCCGCGTGCTCTCAGCAAGCGGATGAGCACGTGCTGGGGAAATGCGTCTCCCCACCCGTGACAGCGCACTCGGCTTCACGGCAGCACCCTTCCAGATTACCCCAACTTTGAAATACTAGAAAGTAGCTCAACACAACTTTGAAGAAATGCAAAAAGAACGCCCTAGTTTCTGTAAGAGCCCCAGCTATGAGAGAGGGGGGAGTGGAGCCGGGGAGTGAGGTGTAAGAACCATTCTGTTTGAGGTCACAGTTGACAGAGAGACCTCTAGCAAGCCCTCGTCCCCTGAAGTGGGCCTCGCAGAGAGATGTGTGTCAGGTCCTTTACCAAAAAGCCTGGGAAAGTCTTCTCTTCTGCTTCTGTTGCAGTTGCTGGTCGGCTCCTGCCTGCCCTACCTCGGCCCCCAAGACATGTCATGAGAGAGCTGTATCCAGAGGGTCCCGGAGGGGGCAGCAAGAGCAGAGGAAGCCGCGCAGTTCCATGGCTCAAGGCCACCCCTCACCTCATCTCTCTTCTTGGACCCCAGGAAATGGCGGGCCACGTGCTCAGGCAGCATGTTGGTGACCAAGGCCTCGTTCCAGCGTCGCATTTCATAGACACGTTCCTTCTGGTCATGGACCTCAATTTTCCACAAGAACAGTGTCCTCGCCAGTTTTTCCACCTACAGACAGACAGGCAAGGAACTTGAAGTGGGAAAACACAGGAAGATGGCTCCATGGCAGGGCTGCAGTGAGTGACCCACGCCCTGTGGTCACAGCAGAGACCCCAGAGGCCTCCTGCCTTTGTGTGGCCTCCAGGGGACCTAATTTTAGCTACCAGTTTTTCTTGTGGGTGGTGGTGGGGCGGGGGAGCTCCCAGCTCAGGAAGGAGCCCTGTTTCCAGCAGGCGCCATCTGGCAAGCGCTTGGGAAGGCTGTAGTTCTCCGGCAGGCCACTGGGTGGCACTGGAGCTAATGGGGAGCGATAAGTGCCTAGTGAGGACACCACCCCTCCTTCCTCCTTCCTCAGCTCCTCTCCCTTTGTCTTCTGGCTCTGGGCGCATAAAAGTCCAGGAGCCACTAGCCTGGGGAAGGGGTTTTTTTTTGTTTTTGTTTTTTTAATAGAGGCATGTTTTATTTATTTGTTTGTTTTGTTTATACATGCACTGGGTACAGTCAGAAGCGCGGGAGGGTGAGAGAATTCACCAGAGCCAGAGCGGGGAGCAGAGCAGGCAGAAGGACCGAAGTACACTGCTGAGGGCAGCAGCGGGCGGCAGGAGAGACCTGCGCGCGGCAGGACAGGCCTGCACGCGGCAGGACAGGCCTGCCGCGCGCGGCTAAGAGAGGCCTGCGCAAGGCTAGGAGAGGCCTGCCGCGCGCGGCAGGAGTAGGCCTGCCGCGCGCGGCAGGAGAGGCCTGCGCGCCATGTGGGACCCTCCTCCAGAGGCCGGGGAGCAGCCGGGGATCGAACCGGCACCGCAGAGGCTGCGGGCAGCTTCGCAAGCCAGCGCTCAACCGCTGCGCCACCGGGGAGGCCCTGGGGGAGGGATTTTATCCAGACTGTTGTGTCCTTCCCCATGTTTGCTTCCTTCAACGTCCTGGAGGGGTCAGAAGAGGAGGTAAGGAAGTTTTCCTCGGATGAGTGAGGAGGGAGCCAGGAAGCAGACGGTGGCGGCTTGCCCAGCGTCACATGCCGTGTGGAGTGAAGGGAACCAGCGGTCCTTAGGAATCTGGGTGTTTACAGCCACGACTGCCTCTCAGGAGGCCCTGATAGGTTGTGAGCAAAAGAGCAGGAGCGTGTGCGGTACTCACGTGGCGGGCAAAGTAGTAAAAGCTCAGCATCATGATGAAGATCATCACTGTCATTGAGTACTTGGAAGGCATGAGGGGCAGCATGAGGGGCAGCCTGCGGGGCGGAGAGGGAGTCAGCTGGGAGAGCACACACGCTGCCCTTGGGGGAGGAAGTCTTCCTCCCGCAGACGGCTGTCAGCCTGCTAGTGCCGTACGCACCTTGCGTCACTCCCAGGCTCCACGGGGCAGCAAAGCTTCTGTACCTTACTGGGTGACTGTCTTAAGGGCCAAGTAAGCCAGGGCCCTCCTGATTGTGCTTGGACTCCACATCAGAGCTTCTCCCAGAGAGTAGTCAACCCTGCATCCCCTGGCTGGCCACAGAAGAGCTGCCGCCACGTAGGAGAGGCTTCCGTACACAGCGGGCCCAAGGCCCCAGCTCTCGCCCACTGTTGTGTGTGGAGCTGCAAGCACTTTCCTCGCCGACAGCGGTCAGGTGTGACTGGACCACAGCTCTGTGCCCATTTGCTGCGGCTACCGTTTGCTTGGGATGCTGGTTTGTGTAGCTATTAAAAACATGACTGGACATTCTTGAGCAAGTGTGCGTGAATTTCTCTAAGGTATACAGATAGAATTGCTGGGTCATAGATCAACTTTCAACTTCACTAAATAATTGCAAATATTTTTCAAAAAGGGGTAGTACCAGCTTTCACTCCCCTCAGGACTCGGTGTTACCACAGGATTTGCTCTCAGGCTTCCTAATTCTTCCCAACTAGTAGATGTGTAAGGTCTCTGACTCTGGTCTTGACTTGGATTTCCTTGGTTACCTGAATACCTTTCTTTTATTAGTAGCCATTTAGTCTGTTCTCTCGTGATGGGCCTATTCAAGTCTTCCACTCACCCATCTGCTAGGTAATTGTCCAGTCACTGAATCATAAAATTCTAAAACTTTAGTGCTAGAAGGGCCCTTGGGAAACTTCCTCTTCAAGAGGAAACTTGAGAGCCGGCCTGCTCGCCGCCCGGAGAATCACTGCAGCAGCTTGAGCTGCTTGCATCCCACATAGCATTTTTTGTCCTGCCAGCCTGTCCTCCACTTGGCTGTTCCTTCTCTCAGCCCTCACCCCTACCTCCCTACTCCACCCTGTAAACCACACTGCTGCTCTCCAAACTGCACTCTGACTCAGGACGGTCAGGTCCAAGTTAACATCAGTACAACACAGCTCCAGCCTTCCTGTAAAAACACAGGCTGCTTGAACATCCCCACCGTGTGCTTTCGGACAGTTAAGCTCACGGGGCCGTGGCCTGTGCCCAGAAGAAGGGTGCGGCCAGCATAGACCAGGGGGCAAAGCAGTCACCCTTACCCGTCGGTGCTGTTGAGCCCGGGGCTGGAAAGTATTTGCTTCTTCTCCAAGGCGACCATGGAAAAGCTGTTGGGCAAATACAACACTCAGGCCCCATGTTAGTACAAAGGCTGGGACCCAGTCAAACCCTGAGGCAGCCCCAATCTACTCAACAACGGGAAGGATCCACCCCAGAACCACAGCCAGCCAGTGGCATGTCTGAAACGCCACGAGCCGTGTCCCATATACACCTTTGATGAGACCTGGAGACCGACAGCCACTTCAGTTAAGGCCTGTGGCCCCTTGAAATGGGGACCTGCAGGGTGGCAGGAAGGAGACGACATAGATCCCCAAACAGGCTGCTGCTTACTCATGTTCCTGGAAACGCTTGTGGTCATATTCATCGAAGATGGGGCGCCAGGCGTAGATGTTGACGACGGCCACGGCCCCAGACACGAGCAGCATGAGCGTGAGCTTCACCATGTGGCTGACCTGCACCAGCATGATGGTGGCGATGAGGGACAGCACGGCCACGTAGTTGTAATACTTGGGGTTCTCCATGCAGCCGTCTTCTATCTGCATCACCGCGGTGACATTGCCGGCTCCCGTGTAGTACTGGAGACAGGACAGCTGCAGGCCAGCACGCGGGGTGCAAGCAGACACCAGTCAGACAGGCCCGTCGTGGCAGTGCATGCCCTGCTGCCACTCCCCCCAGACCCCCGAGGGCGTTGGAACACTGGCCAAGGCACGAGATACAAAAGTGAGCAGCACCCGCTCGCCTTCCCTCCCCTCATCTGATGCTCAGGGGTTCTGAGCTTTCTCAGTATGGCCACCACGGTCGGGGAGGCTGGGCTTGCCCCAAGTGGCGCAGTTACTAGGCAGCAGTGAAGCTGGAGCTAGGAGTGTAGTCTTCAGATGCCCAATCCCACGTGCCCTCGCCCGCATTCCACTGCTGCTTCTGCCGGGCTGTGGCGCCGGCTCTACCCAGCCTCGCGGCAGCGGCAGCCTGTCTCAAGCTCAGGCACTTGCATCTCTGGGGTCTGCTGACCGATCCCATTGCTGGGCAGATGTAGCCCACGGGAAATGCATCCAGAAACTGAGTCACCCAATTGGACTTGTCTGGCTCTGGGGACATTCTTAAGTGTGTCATCCTGGCACGCGAAAAATATTCACACCTCCCTAGTTTTCCACCTTCGCCAGTGACAGGCTCTCTGGATGACCTGCGTTGCGTAACAGTGGTCCCCGGACCTGGACGCCAGGCACCAGGGGTGTCCTGATGTGGGAGAAGCCTGAGGCTTTTCTTCCCTGCCATGTGGGCACCGAGTGACCCTGGGGCCTAGGGCTCCCAACGACCGACCAGAAGCCACAGAGCTTTCACATCTACGCTGCTGCCAGAGCAGCCTCCACTGAGTGGTTCCTGTGCTTGCTTGTTGGAGCAAATCATGTAACATTATGTTTGAAAAAAGGTTTCAACTTTCAGAGCATGAATAGAGCACTACCAAAATTAGAGCAAGTGGGCCTCCCCAGTGGCGCAGCATGAGCGCCACGCAGGCTCGATCCTGGCCGGCCAGGGAGAAACCCACTTGGTGCGGCAGACCTCTCGTCTCGCCCGCTGCTTCCCATAGCAGTGTCTTCGGTCCGTCTGCCTGTTCTGCTCCCTGCTCTGTCTGGTGAATTCCCTCACCCTCCCGCACCTCTGACCTGTACCCCAGTTCTTGTATAAATAAATAAATCTTTAAAGAAAACAAACAATAAAAAAAAAACCCAACAATATTAGAGGGAGTGTGTGAGTTACTGTGGACAGTTCGATCTAGAGGCTCGGAATCCACAGGCCAGGGCTGCCGGCTGCTCTCCCTTCTCCCCAAGAAAGCACCTTTCACCCCTGAGTGGCAGGCACTCACCATGTCCACGACATTTGCCATAACCAGGATGAAGATGGCTAACATGGCCCAGGTGTTCCTGGCCCAGCGGGTCCGGTCAATCCAAGTTGAGAAGGCCACGAGCTTCTTAGGAAAGGCCTAGCAGGAATGAATTCCAAGAGTCATCACACTCTGACCGCCTTTTCTCCCGTAAACTTGACACCGGCTGCTCCCACGCTCCCAGGATGCTAGGAAGCAGCCCTGTGCATTTGACTCAACTAGAACCGCCAGGCTAAGAACACGTCAAAGACCGACTTGTCTTGGTCCTGGCGGTGTTGGTGAAACTGGCTTCCAGGTAGGTAACCCCCTTCCAGAGCACAGAAACCAGCCCCTGGGAACCCACGCCCCACCTCTGAGCGGTGAGTTTGGGTTCGGGAACAATGTTCAAGGCCCGTTGTCTGCCAGCTGCTACTGCCCTCCCTGGGTCAGTTCCTCCCAAGTCACCTGCTGGATTAGTTTTCCTCAAACACTGTTTATTCCTTGTCATTCTGATCAAAAGCTCCGCGTAGTACCCAGTGCTTCTAGAGGGAAGTCTTCGTGCTTTTGACTGGCTTTCAAGGTCCCTCACCATCGGGCCCCGTCCACTTCTCCCCTGGAGGCCGCCGGGTTTCCATTTACCCAGACCTCGGCCTGCTGGCCCACACGTGCCCCTGCGCCAGAGCCCAGCCCAGATGGGGGCTGGGGGGAGTGGAGGCCGAAGACGGCCTATTTGCAAGGATTTCATCGGCAGTGTCAAGACCCGCTTTCACGGGGCGCGAGGCCCACTTCCAGAGGGCTTCTGAGCGAAAAGGAAAAGTGCCTCTTACCCGGGGAAAGATGGCAGCCAGCGAGCAGATCGTCAGGATCAGCAGCAGAATCTCCCCCACCACAAAGGTCACGTAGTTTGTCATTAGCCTGTAACAGAGGGAAGGCGGTGGGGGGCGGGGTGCACCGGAGGGCACGGTGAGTGTGCTGACAGGCTAGCAGAGGGAAGGAAAGGAGACAGAAGGCGCGAGCCTGTGCCCAAGAGTTCCAGGTGACAGGGAGTGGGGACCGCCTGCTGCTGCGCAGGCGACGGAGAGGCGCGGGGCCTGGAGCGGTGACCCCTCCAGCGGTGACCGCCTGGCTCTCTAACTGGTGGGTGCTCCCTCCGGGAACGTCAGTCCCGAGAGGAGGGGCTCCTTCCGTTGTGTTCCCTGCGCTGGCCCAGACCCCAGCTCAGGCGAGGCAGAGCCCACACGGCTGCCAACACGGCTGCAGTGAACGAGCTTGAGCCTCAGTCTGGGGCGCTGCTGGGCAGGCAGCACCCTCACTTCACAGGGGAGGAAACAGAAGGTTGTCCAGCAAATAGGTGAGGAAGCCGCGTCCAGAACTTAGGGCCCGGTGGCTGGGTCCAAGGCTCGTGAGTTTCCCCAGCCAACCGGAGCGGGCTCCACACCCCTTCCTTTCTAGCGGGAGACCCTCAGGCGGGAGTGAGCTGCTGCTGAGCCTCGAGGAGAGGGGGGTGGGAGTCGTTCTTCAGATGGGCCTGCGCAGTGGGGCAGGAGCCCACGTCACCCCAGCAGGCTGCGGCTGAGCTCGGGCTCCTGGTCCTGAGGTCAGTCCTTCCTACGCCGAGCCAGAACGGCAGCCAGGCCGACCTCGGTGACGGGGTGGGGCCCATTCACTGTCTGCGTCCAGAGTGCTGAGGCCCACCTGGCTAAGGGCTCATCCTCCTGCACCCCTCTGCCCCTGGCCTTCCTCAGCCCTGGTGTGAGGCCCACTGTGACGTGAATGCCTTTCTGGACCCCAGGACAGAGAGAAGGGGCGGGTCTCAGGGCTCGGTCCTGGCACTGCTGAGGCCGGTTCCCCAGGGGGCAGCAAAGAACAGAGACAAGACTGCCCAGCCTGGGGAGCTCACAGCACCCCCTCCTTGGCCACGGGTCCCCACACGGCCCGCCCTCACCAGGGGTCGATGAGTATCTCCACCAGGGCGGCACACAGCAGGACGACACAGGAGCAGCTGAAGGCGGCCCCGCTCTGCTTTTCCTTCTCCACCGAGTAGCGGGTTTCCAGCTCGGGGTCCATGAACCGCATGGACAGGAGGAAGGTGTTTCTCTTCTTCACTCTGCGGGGGAAACAGCCCCGGGAAACATCAACGCCACGTCTGTCTGGGCCTGTAGCGCAGGGCCCTGAAGGGCCTGGAGGGCCAGGGTGTCTGGGGGTCGCTTACACCTGGGCGGACTCGCGCTCCAGCAGGGCCTCGTTGAGCAGCTGGTTGAGCTCGTGCTCGTCCTCGGAGGCGTCCACCACGCGGTCGGCCAGGTCCTGCAGGCGCAGCCTCCGGCGGGGGTTTGGGAAGGAGGGGTTGTCTGCCTGTTGGCGGGCAGGTGGGGAGAGTTGGGGAGAGAGGGCGGTGGGGTGACAGGCAACCAAAGAGAACGCACTAGGGCTTCTGGCTCTAAAATACCAATTTCTGGAAGCGCCTTCCCGGTGCTTGTGCAGGGCCGCATCCTGCTTGGGTCTGGACCCAACGCCACTGTCCTTCCTGCCTGCCTGGCATGCCAGGTCCTGGGTCCTGCGGGCCCTAGTGGAAGCTGGGCAGTGGCCACCCACCAATGGCTCCCGAGGGGGCGTTTTGGGGGTGAGAGCGCTGCTGGGTCAGCACGGCCCTGCACACCCTGCCACGACGATGGGCTGTCACACAGCTGGGCACATCAGCACCCAGGGACGCTGCCCCCCAGCCACAGGGCTGAAGGGAGCTCTTAAAGGAGCTCTCACCTGCTTCTTTGTGGGGACAGAGACCTGAGGGGAAAAGTAGCAGGAGAGTGGGGTGGTGGGGTTGGGGCCACAACTGCTTTTATTCCAGTCACAAAGAGCACCAGCTCCAAAAAATATGCACCAGACAGTGATTACAGCCACCACCCAGACAAGAGCTGGGCCTGGCACGGGGCTGTCTGCCTGGCTCAGAGCATATGGAGGGCAGAAGCATGACGCCCTGGGCTCAGCTCCCATGCACCCCTGGGTGATACGCTGACCCCATGAAAATGTACCTCCTCCTCCCCCAGGCCCATTTTTCTTCTCTGTAAAATGACATGGATGGTCTCTTCTAACACCGAGAACCTGTGTCTCCGAAGGATACCCTGGAGCAGCGAGGCCTCGGCTAGCGGTCGGCTATGAACAGTGCACAGGCTGGCTACACCCCTGTCGCTGTCAGTGACTTACATCACGTGTGACTGTCGCATTCTCTCAAGAAAGTCACCAGAGGGGGAATTCACCACATGTTGTGCTCGAGAAAAACCCAGCTAACTTTAAACCCTGTCTACCTTCTGAGCTAAGGACATCGGGGGCACCTCTCCTGCCCCCCTCACACAGCTCCTGCAGTCGCACGAGATGGAGACCCCCACCCCCATGGCATTTGCCTTTGTCAGGAGCATTCTCAGGAGACTGTGTGGTCACCACGGGTCCTGGACACTCCGGGATGGCCTGGCCTCTGAGGGGAAGCATGTTAACTCCTTGGAAACCCCCCATCGGTACTTGGGGACTGTGGTGCTAGACCTAGCCAGAGAGGTGAGCCAGCCCTGAAGTCACTTCCAAAACAGTCTCAGATCCTATAGAATTTTCCATGGATGCCCTCATGGACCTCAGATCTATAGATTCAGGGACGTCAGAGCCAGACGAGGTCTCAGAGTTGAGCACCTATCGTAACTCCCCACCCCCGGCCCCCCGTGGTTTACCATGAGGTGACAGCCAGGTTGGGTGAGGCAGGGGGTGTTCAAGGCTGCACTGCCACAGGGAGCAGAGCCCGGGCTGGAGGCCGGGTGTCCCGCTCTCAGCACGAGACCTCCCTGCCCACATCCTGGTCCTGGGTCCTGCACATACCTGGCCCTCTTGCTCTTCGGGCGCCTCCGCTGTGGACCCGGCGGTGTAGGCACCCCCGTTGGGCTCCTTGGTCTCAATGAGGGCAGGGGTGCTGGGCTTTGAGGCTGGTGCTCCGTTCGGCAGGGCCTGCAGCAGAAAGGATTGGCCATCAGGGGCTCAGACGTTGCCAGCTGCCCACCCCACCCTGAGATTGTCTGCTTGTCTGTCCCTCTGGAATCTTCCTACTAGTCGTTAGAAGCCTCGTAGTCTTACAAATTTCACTACTCAGTTCTTTCTCTGGAGCAGTAGTTTTCTAATATCATTTTCTACCATCACATTTTCTCTAGGCAACGAACAGCTCTCGTTCCGGTTCCTATTTCCAAAGCAGTCACTCAGTGGCGCCGCGAGCCAGAGGTCTCTCCTTGGGGAGAGCCCTGTCACATGCCTTCTCAATTCCATAAACCATTTTCCTGAGTGTTTTTCCTTGACGGAATAAGTTCAACATGGAAACACTTCCGTTCCAAGTATCACTGCGTCCCTACTATGTGACAGGAACTGTCCTAACTCCTGGGGAGACGAAATGCCCTGACCCCGAGAGCAGACATTCTGGGGAGGCCGGATGGCAAAAGAAATAAGCAAGAGACCGTCCGTGAGAAGACAGCAGGTGCTCTGACGAGGAAGGCGCGCGCGGTGACTGTGGGGCGTGTGATTGTAAAGAGGAGGCATCACTGTGAAGAGGGCCTTTCCCTGATGACCCAACTTGTCCTCAAGGAGCAAATCACGCTGCTCCGAGCGACAGCCGGGGTGAGAGCAGTGTGGCCTCAGGATGGAGGGGGGTCCCCCGACCGCTGGAGGACTTGGCTCTCCCTCTGAGGTGGGACGGGAGTGCAGGGTGTGGAGCGGGGGCAGTGATGACTGACTGCTGTGTGACAGGGGCCCAGGGCCAGGACAGAAGCAGGACGGCCGCGGGGAGACCACCGCGCTGTCCAGGTGGGCGCGGACAGTGGCCTGGCTGGAGCGTCGTGAGGGGGGGGGGGGGAGGGGCCGGAGTGACATCCCGCGGGCAGGGTCGGCGGGGCTTGCGCGGGGGTCACGAAGAGACAGGCCAAGGAGGTCTTCAAGTGTTTGGTGTGAGCAGTTCATGGAGTTGCTGCTGGCTGAGCTGAAGAGACTGAGGAAGACGAGCTGGCGGGCAGAGGAAGCCCAAGAGCTCGCTCTGGACCCGTCAGTGCCCGGCTCCTGCAGCTACACACGGGTTTTTAAGCAGCTCTGAGCTGAGCACAGGGAAGCTTGTTGGGGCCGAGATCCGGCCCCGGGAATGGTCAAGGATGGCACTGACAACAGTGAGACTGGATGCGGTTCCAAGGCTAGAAGAGATGGGGTGTCTCCGCGGCGTCACGCAGAAAGGCTGCTCTGTGACAGTTCCCCTCACGCGCCCCAGATCACGTCGTTCGGCTGACCCACAGGGAGAGGTTTCTGCCTACGGGGAGCTCACCGAGCCGTTGAGGCCATTTTGGGCGGCCGTTTTCTTCACTTCCGGCCCGGACGCGATGATGAGGTAGGTCTCGATGCCCTTCTCATCGAGGTAATCGCAGCGGCTGCCCCCGTCACCCGGTTCCACATCAAACTCCCCTTTCAGGCAGTCCATGGTGCTCTGGGAGATGTGCACGCGCCTGGGGGCAGAGGAGGCCCTAAACATCAGCCAGAGGCCCCCCCCACCCACCCAGTGGTCAGGGGACAGTGGCCAGGCTGCTGCTTGGGCCCATCTCCCAGACACGTGGGGCTGAGGGGCTCCCCAGGGGTGCCAGGAAGTCCTGCTCTAACGGGCTCTCTGGGCCTTCGACTTCAATCCCCGAGTCAGACCTAGGGGCTGCTGGAGCCTCACGAGGCGGGGTTTGGAAGTCTCTTCTGAACTCTGAAGGCGTGAGGTGAGGCCATCGCCCCTGTGACAATACCTTTGTCACTTCTGGGACCCACGTCTGGGAGTCAGCATTGAGGAGAGGATGGGCCTGCCTTTGAGGGAAGCTCCCTGCCAGGTGGGGAAGGTTTCACTGTCCTCAGCCTGCCCAGCAGAGGGCAGGGCCTGCCTAGCAACTGGCCGACTGGTGAAAGCTCAGGTGCCAGTGCCCAGGACCTGCCCCTCAGAGCCTGTTGCTCTGATTAGCGCTAGTGGTAGCACCCTTTGGGGAGACTTGCCATCTGAAGTGGCCACAGCGGTGACATCAGAGGCTGGGCAGCCCGACAAGTGGGTAAAGGGGAGAGGCCAGGCTGCTGCAGAGGGCCGGGCAGCAGTGGCTACAGCCAAGCTCAGGCCATGAGTCAGGCACCCCATGGAGGATGTCCCCGGGTGGGATGTCCCTGCCTGGGCCGCTGTCATGAGGGCGAGAAGGGATGGCCCCTCCCCGGTTGTCCACACATGCCCACTCGCTCACCCAGGAATGCCGCCGGCCTCCATCTTGTTGGCCACCGTGACGTCGGTGGACCACACGTCATATTGCCAGCGCTTCTGGCCCAGGACGCCCCCCAGCACCGTGCCCGTGTGCACACCCACACGCATGTCCACCCCGGTCTTCGTCTTCTCCCGCACATACCTGCCAGGTACACACGGAAAGGGGGTTCAGGCATGGCCATGCAAGGCGGCAGCCTTCCCCCCAGAGGCACCCACTTACGAGATGGCCTCCACCATGGCCAGCCCCATGAGGATGGAGCAGACCGCGTGGTCCTCCCGGTAGTCGGGCAGGCCGCAGATGCAGTAGTAACAGTCGCCCAGGATCTTGATCCGCAGCTGGTGGTATTTCTGAAAGGGCAGGACAGGGCCCGGGTCCTCCTCAGCATGGTGAGCGGCAAAGGCGGCAAGGCACAGACAGGGGGGAGGAACCGCAGGGAGGCTGGGCACTGGCCCAGGGACCCCCACGTTGGCAGGCGGGCAGGGTGGGTACTTACTTGTGCCAGCTTGTCGAAGCGGGCAAAGAGCTCGTTGAGCAGCTTCACGAGCTCCTGGGCGCTGCAGGCAGAGGACAGCTGGGTGAAGCCCACGATGTCGGCAAAGAGGATGCTGCAGGAGGGAGGGTGCAGGCCTGGGTGAGGTGGGAGGGAGTTCTCGCCCGAGCCCCAACGCGGTGAGACCCTAACGCTTCCCGGAGAGAGGCTGCCCGCGCCTGCCCACCCCAGGATGGCATGTCCTTCCTGGAAGGGACGCAGCTGTCCCCCCCCAGCATGGGCCCTGAGGGCTGGGTGGCCTCCCGGATGGATGTCACTGCCCCACTCTGGGTGACGGTGGCACAGGGCCTATTGCGCGTCTCAGCCCTGCTGCCCGGGAGCGAGGCTGCCTCCGCAGGGGCTGAGCTTCAGGTCTGGCCTCCTGGCTGGTCCCTGGGGAAGACTCTGGAAGCCATGGAGCTCAGCCCCCTGAGCCGGCGCGGGCCGCACCTGACATTCTCGTGGCGGTACATGTACATGGTGTTGAACTGCTGCTGGTCCTTCTGACTCTCGTCCTTCTTCATGTCCTTTAACATCTCGTCGGCCACGTGCTTGGGCAGGATGGACAGCATAAGGTTCTCCTGCGAGAGGGGCACGGGGTTAGTGGGGAAGGTGGCTCTGGCCTGTGCCCTTCTGGTAAGAAACTGCCTGATCCCGGTGACCCAGAAGCCTGGCGGTGCTGACCCCACCTGGGGCGGCAGCCAGAGGCCCAGCTGGGCAGCTTCTTGCGTGGAGCAGGCCCAGCACTGACCCGGCGGGATCCAGCAGGGCTCTGTGCAAGCAGGCAGGGCTCTGTGCCCACAGCGATCCCAGGCGCACGAGCAGAGGGACGGGGTCCCCGCGGCCACTCTCCTCTGCTACTGCACCGTGCGTCCCCGAGGGCAGGGCCTTTGAGTCACCGCCCCTCCCGCAAGGAGCAATCGCTCAAGAAATTCAGATTCAACCTGACTGAAGTCCAGGGCACACGGGTACCACGCATACAGGGCCCCCAAGCCCGGCGTGTTCCACCACGGAGCAGGGACACGGTCACGGCCCGGTGGAGGGGGAGGCAGGAGGGGCGACGCGAAACAGCATCCACCAGGGGTGTGCATGCACGCGGGCCTGCAAGGAGACCCTGGAGCAGGGCTTAAGACGGAGATGCTGGGGGGCCATGTGACAGGGGAACAGGCTCAGGGACCCTCAAGCCTCTGGGTGGTGGAGAAACTGAGGTGCGCAGATCCAGTCTGATCAGGGCCAGCAAACCCCCTGCGCTGCCCGGCCATGCTCACTTGCTGAGCAGCCTGCTTTGCTCTCTCGCTCAGCGGTGAGCAGCTGCCAGAGACCCTGTGGCCTGCAAAGCCGAAAGATTGACCATCTGGCCTCTTGCAGAAAACATCCGCTGAGTTGGGATCGTGAAGGGCCATGTGAGCCAGGGGAACTGGGGGGCAGGGAGGGGGCGCGGGGCAGAGGCTGTGACGAGACGAGGGGTGTCTTAGGAAGACCCTGCAGACGGCGTGGGGCAGCAGGGGAGGCAGAGGCGGGCCTGAATGAGGGCGGCCCCCGGGCAGGGGCCAGGCGTGATGGCTGCGGCTCTGGGTAGACCCTGCCAGGCCCTGAAATAAGGGACAGAAGAGGAGGCAGATGGGCGAGACGGATGGGCGCCTGGGGGGGTCTGACCCGGGGACCCGGCGCAGGACGCCCATGCAGGACGCAGGAAGGCTCTGTGGCGAGCCTGCGGCTCTCCGGCTGGGGGTCAGACTGAGCAGCAGGAAGAGGGGAGACGCGGGATCCCCCCAGGGAGAAGCTCAAGTTGAGGTTTCGCGGAGGAATGGTCAGGATGGAGGCGCAAGAGACCCTGCTAATGGCAGGGGCCTGGGGCAAGGCAGCAAGAGGCGTGAGGTCGGCCTGAGGTGGGGGGGGGGGCTTTGACCCCGCGGTGGGGCAGTGCAGAGGGTGCGGGTGTTGGAGGAGGCAGGATTCAGGGCAGTCCCAGAATCAGGTCCTGATCCGACTGTTGGGCACAGGAGCGACCTGCTCCGGGTGGACAGAAAACCCAGAGCTGCTGTCAGTGCTCAGCACTCAGGGCCTGGCCAGGGGTCACCAGATCCCAGTGCAATGGAGGCTGCAGGTCCCAGACCTCGGTGTGAGGCCAGCCAGGGGGTGCAGGAGTAGGGCCGCGCCTCCCGCCGGGGCCTGGGCAGAGGCGTGGCCGCTCCTGCTCTCTGATGTGGGCGGGTGCTGATGCACAGAACCCACCGCACCCGTGCTCTGGGGCAGGAGAACTGAGGGTGCAGGTTCTTCTCCGGGGTGGGGGGCGGGCAGCCAAGCCACCCCCAAGGGTCTAGTGTCCTATCCAGGCCCCTCCCCTGCCCTGAAAGCTTGCACACTGCCCCACAGAGGGTCCCCGTCTCCTCTGCCTTCACGGGGAACCCTCTTTCTCGCAGTGAGTCACAGGGTTAATGGCGCGTCTGCCCAGCGTGGCACAGGCAGCCTGAAGCGCTTCCACGGCTGCTGCTATTAGCCTCCCGTCTCCACCGCTAAGGACCTCGCACATGGCATCATTACAGCTCAGGAATGAGAAGCCAAAATAACCCCAGTGCGCCGGCCCTGGCTCCACCTGAGCCCGAGAAGCTGCAACCAGGTCTCCCGGGGTGCCACCACCCTGGCAGAGCGAGAGCAAGGGACTCCGGGACCTGTGCACTTGGCTCACCTCCACCCACACCTGTGCGGGCGAGGTCCGAGGCGCCCCCTCCCAGGGCTGCAGAACATGAGCCTCTGGGAGGGTTTTCAAAAGACATCAGCTACAGGGGGTGCTACACCAGTGAGCGCGGGGCAGGAGCCACAGGACTCCAGCCCACCTTCATGCCCGGCAAGCGTCCGTGCAGGCTGGCAGGGATGGGAGGGGGTGGCGGTCGGCCTTCGGTCAGACGCCAGCCCTGCCCCTCACCTGCTGCGGGATTCCAGGCCACGACGACACCCCTGGGCCTGGCGTCATCGGTCAAACAGGACGAAGGGAGGGTCACGGGAACGCGCCTGGCGCAGGTCTGCACACGGCCAGTGCGCGCGCGCTCTGGCTCGGCGTGGGCCACTTGCTAAGGGTGTCCGAGGAGCAGCACATGAGAGGCCAGGCCTCTACCTGCGCTTCCGGGCGGGCCCATTGGAAAGTCCCAGGGCAGCTGAAAACCCCCCGTCACTCAGTCGGCCCCAGGACTCCACCCAGTCCAGGAGCACTGAAAAAGGGGGTCCCCAGGGCACTCCCTCCCGTACACGTCTCAGCCCCCCGTGTATGCACACGGGGTGCCTGCCAAGGCGAGGAGGATGAGCGTGGGGCAGGCCGGCCAGGCTGCGGAAGGGGACACGCGGGTGTGTGGCAGGGGGTGGGAGGCACCCCAGTGGGCGAGTCACAGCACTGCGCCGCCGCAGGTCACCCTCCTGCCCGCCCAGCCAGTCTCCCGAAAAGCCTCTCTGGGTTCCCGGAGAACCTCGGGGCCCTCAGAATCCAGCCCAGTCCTGCGAGCGCTCCGAGCCCCGACCACAATACCCCCGGGGTCCAGCCGGCCTCCCCGCACTGCCCGGGCCCGGCAGCAGCGGCAGAGCCAAGGCGGCCTGGAGCCCAGACTCGGGTGCCCCTCTACTCCCAGGGAGGACGCCCGGCAAGTCTCCTCCGGGGTGGGGCACGGGACCGTCACCTCTGGCATTATACATTTCGGCCACTTTTCTCAAGAGCACAGATGAGTTCCGAAGCAGAAAATCATTCAATGTCAATTTTGAAACATACTGAGCAAGCAGCCATGGCCGCCAACTGCCCTGCGCGGTTTATGGAAACCAGAGAGGCAACCTCAAAGGCCAGGCAGGCAGAGTCCCTGTTGGGTCACTCTGATAAAACGGGTTGTAAAGAAGCAGACACGGAGAAGAACGGGCAAACACAATCTGACACGAGGAAGGACCGAACAGCCAACTGCCAAGGGGCTCGACAGGAAAGAACATTCTGGTAGGTGAGGTCAGAGGGAGAAAGCGAGAGGGGACAGCAAAGGAGGCTGCTGTCCCCTGCAGGGCCAGACCCACGTCGCAGGCCCCAGGATACTGGTAACCGCCGGCTCCCCCTGCCCGTCAAGCCGCGGTGTCTGTGCCCCCGGGCCGCTAAGCCACGCGCCGCCCACCGGCTCGCCCACCGGCCTGAGCCGTCTGCCCTGCTCTCCTCCGTGGCCCCAAACAGGATTGTTTGCTTTCCTCGGCGCCCCTCCCACCTCACTCGCCACCTCTCCAGGGACCCCCGTCCCTGCCTCAGGAGCCTGTCCCTCCTTGCTGACACCCGTTTAACTGGTGTCTCTGGCGCTGGCCTTGTCTGCCCTGATAATTCTAAGCCCTTTCCTGGATGTTGGCCCCAAGGAGGAATAGGAGCTGGGAGCTCGGCTCTCCGAGCAACCCCACACAGGGGCGGTCCCTGGCACCCGTCCTCAGGCTTCAGGTTACAGACCCCAACACCCCAAATGTGTTCTTGGAACAGGAAGGCGGCGGAGTCCAGGTGCACCTGTCTCGTGTGTTCCACAGGGGTAGGTGGAGAGGGGTCGCCCGGAAGAACCAAGGCGGGCCCAGGGTCAGAGCCGAGTTTTGTGGCTTGGCCTGCCGAGTACCGAGGCAGAGCCCACTCCTCCTAAAATAGCAGTTGCTGTATATTTCTGGAGCCATAGGAATGTTCCAAGCCTTTGACCCATGAATGGCTCTTCTGGGAATTTATCCAAAAGAAATAATCCGAAAGCAGCAGCAGGATGGGTGTGCAGGAAGCAGCCGACACCTGGGGAACAGGCGGTGCGAGCACTGAGCAGCTGGCGGGGCCCGTTCAACCCCGACACGCCCTCTGCATGGAGGACTCTGCAGCTTGAGAAACGCTAGTGATGCAAACTGTTGGAACACGAACATGACAAGAGCAGGACACGAACCGTCTCCTGTGGCGAGGACGCCGGGGCATGTGCCTCTGAAGAGCAGGGCGCCGTGGGCAGAAAAGGAGGGCAGCTTCACTGGGGTGTGGAATAGAGACAAATGCTAATTCTTAAATTGCTATATGCTTGTGAGGCTGCTGCAGCTTCCTTAAAACACTCTTTAAACTGGAAAAACACAAACTTCTCTTGCCTCCAGCTGTGACTCTGACCCTGACCCCAGCTGTGTGTCACCACGGCAGTTTTCTTAGAAAGGGGAAGCCCCGTAGGTCGCGGGCTGGTTCCATCCGCCCAAGTCTGCGTGGATCTAAACCTGAGAAAGGGGGCGTGAGGGGCCAGTGGCCCTCTTAGGGAGCCAGGGGACAGCATCTGGCCGCTGGTGGGCTTTCCACATGTCGGTTCTCTTAGCACCACCGGCCACTGTCCTGCCATGACCATGAAGGAACAAGAAGTTCCCTCAGCTGAGGACCTGGGGGTAAAAAAGCAGCAAACGGGAGCTGCGAAGCCAGGGACCAGGACAGCGCGGACGTGCAGCCCAAGGTGGACACGGCAACAAGCCTCTGGAAACTCGACAGAGACGCAGGTTGAAGGCTGGCCGCCCGGGCCACAGCTGCTCGAAACCTCCCTCCCAGGGACTGGCGGAGGAGGAAGACCTGACTGTGCTG